GGCTGCCTTATCCTCAGGTATTTCACACTGGATTCGGGCTTCCACACCTGCTACCTTCCAAACAGTCACTTTCCCTCTCATAGACTTGCAGCATTTGTTTTCTCAGACCTCCAACTGATCTCTCGGGTGTTCAGAATGATTTGATAACTATGTAGTTGTATTTGAGGGATGAGACAAACTTGGGGTTCCCCTACTCCTCCACCATCCAAACTCCTTCTGCCCATTTTTAGATAGGATTATTTGGGTTTTTTGGTGTTGAGTTGTATAAGTTCTTTATATATTTAGGTATTAACCTCTTATCAGGTATATCATTTGCAAATATCTTCTTTCATTCAGTAGATTGCCTTTTTGTTTTGTTGATGGTTTCATTCACTGTGCTAAGGGTTTTTATTTTGGTGTAGTCCCAATAGTTTATTTTTGCTTTTGCTTCTCTTGCCCAAGAAGACATATTTAGAAAAATGTTTCTACAGACAATGTCAGAGAAATTATTACCTACATTTTCTTCTGTGGATTTTATGGTTTAAAGTCACACATTTAGGTCTTTAATCTATTTTGAGGTTGTGTGTGTGCACATGTGTGTGCACACGTGCACATGTGTGTTTGTGTGTGGTGTAAGACAGCAGTCCAGTTTCATTCTTTTGCATGTAGCTGTGCTGTTTTCCCGGAGCCATTTTTTGAAAAGACTGTTTTTTTTTTCCCTACTATATAAAGAATTCCCTAATTTTTTAAGCCTGAGTAATATTCTATTTGTATGTATAGACCACATTTTGTTTACCTGTTCGTCCATTGATGGACACTTGGGTTGCTTCTTTTTTCTTGTGAATAAAGGGGGTATGAATGTTTAAAATTTTAATCTAAGAAATTTGAGACTTATGGATGATGATTTATTGCTATGTATGTGGTGTTATGGTTTCATTGCTCCTATCTGCATTTGTATTTACTTTGTTGCAAGCTGATGAGAAAAGATTAGAGGAGGAATTAATATGTAAATGATGCATCTATGTCAAGTGAAGACTAATTTCCTGGTGACTCACTGTACTAACCATGATTTTGTAAATGTCCCAATAGAAGAAAATGGTGGAGAAATTGGCCGTTCCTGCCCATGATAGTACAGGCACCTGGAACTTCCAGTAGGCCAATGGTACCACAACTATGGGGTAAGCAGCAGAGCAGTCAAAGAATAGCATCTGGCACTAAATTTCAATTTGCATTTTATTGGTTTTGTACTTTTGTATTTGATGTGTAAATTTGTTTGGGTTTTACAGTTGAATAAGAGCTCTGAGGATAAAAAGTTGATATCCAGCTTTATGTTTCCACATCATAAATGGAGGATGGAGGCATGAGATGTGTCCTCCAGGATTAGGTTATTGAAGAGTAACAACCAGAAGATAAACGGAGGTGGCCACAGTGACAATCTGGATTTGAAGGATGAGGATCTGGAATTGGGAGGTAGCAGCACATAAGGAGACTATGAAAGAGTAAAGAAAAGAATGTCAGTTTTTGGTGAGATATGGGAAGAAAGAGAGTGGGACACCAGGATAACTTCTGAGTTTGGATACCTGAGGGACTGTCAGAAATAGGAGAGTCCAAAGAGGGGACTAATTTGAGAGAAGAGATTAGCTGGATTTTAGATCTGTTGAATTTGAGGTGTTTGCCAGAAATTCAGCTGAAGATGCTCAGTGATCAGTAAAGCTTTCAGAGTCTGTTTTCATCTTCTAAGCTATGGATTCAGTGAAAAGTTGAGCAGTGCTTTCTCAATGCCTACTGGTGCTTCTCTTGCAGAGTTAAGATCAAACTTTCCACCTTTCCTCTTTAATTAGCTGGTGACCCAGGGACTTTCTTCAAATGACTACCTCAATTAGGGCACATCATCCAAAAGCCAAAAGGGACAAGTTTGATGAATTGGATTATTAAAAAAAAACTTCTGTTCAGCAAAAAATAATGTCAAAACACCAACAACAAATTGGGAAGTCCTGTTTAAAAAACATTTTAAAATATTTTTTATTTTTATAAAATATATATATACACGTATATATATGTATATATGTGTATATATATATTTTATACATATATATGTATATACATGTATATATATATTTTATAAAAATAAAAAACAAAAAATACATATATATATTTAAGAGAGAGTGTGTGAGCTGGGGCAAGAGAGGGGGAGAGGGAGAAGGAGAGAAGCAAACTCACACTGAGCTCGGAGTCTGACATGGGGCTCGATCTCACAACACTGAGATCATGACCTGGGATGAAACCAAGAGTTCAAGCCTAACCAACTGAGCCACATAGATGCTCCAGAAAGCCCATTTTTAGAAAAAACATTTTATACTGAGATTATTTCAAATTTACAGAAAAGTTCAACAGTAGTACAAAAATGTGTGCCTTAACTCAGATTCCCAGGTTAACAGTTGACACATTTGTTTATTCATTCATATATTGTAAGCATTTGAGAGTAAGAAACAAACATGCTATATCATTTACCCTTCGTACTTTAGTCTACATTTCCTAAAAACTGGGACATTCTTCCACATAACTGCAGGTCAACCATCAGCTAACACTGATATACTATTGTGTGTGGATCATCTAATCCACATTCATGATTTGCCTATTGTTCCAATATATTTTTATAAGTTCAGCATCCAAATCAGAATAATACTTTTCATTTAGTTGTGACAGATCTTTGATCTCCTTCAATTTGAACCAATTCCTGAGACTTTCCTTGATTTTTCTGACCTTGACCCTTTTGAATATTACAGGTCAGTTACTTTGTAGAATGTCTCTCACTGGGTTTGCCTGATATTTCTTTAAGATTAGGTTCAGGTCATGTATCTTTGGCAGAACTATTCTAGAAGTGATCCTGTGATCTCAGTGCATCATATCAGGAGACATGTGCTCTCTAGGGGTGCCTGGGTGACTCAGTCAGTTGAGCATCCAACTCTTGGTTTTAGCTCATGATCTCAGGGTCATGAGTTGGAGCCCCATGTAGGTCTTCACACTCAGCAGAGAGTCAGAGATTCTCTGTCCCTCTGTTCCTTTCTCCATTCGCACTCTCTCTCTCAAATAAATAAATCTATCTTTTTTAAAAAGAGAGGTGGCATGGGCTCTCAATTTGTCCCCTAGAAACTGTGATACAATTTAAAAATTTTAAAAAAGATTTTATTTATTTGAGAGAGAGCATGAGCAAGGAGGATGGGTAAAGGAAGGGGCAGAGGGGGAGGGAGAAGCAGACTCCCCATTGAGCAGATAGCCCCAGGTACTCCATCCCAGAACCCTGAGATCATGACCTGAGCGGAAGGCAGGTGCTTAACGACTGAGCCACACAGGTGCCCCAAGAATGGCTTTTCTAATGGGTGCCTGGGTGTCTGAGTCGGTTAAGCATCTGCCTTCAGCTCAGGTCATCCTGGGGTTTCGGGATTGAGCCGCACATCAGGCTCCCTGCTCAAATATTCTTAATAGTAATTACATTAATTCTGAAGACTTTGTGAAATTACTTTTAGGAGAAATTTCTTTTAGGCCAATGTAATTATTGATCAATTATCTACATAGAATACATTTTCTATTTGCACTGTAATAAGATGATTTCTGTTGGATAAATTTTTTATGTAAATAAAAAAATATTTTTGTTCACATAAAATTTTAGTGATTATAGCTTCTGCCTTTGTATATTTTCTGATGTCTTACTTTCCCCCAGGTTACATTTATATATCTAAATTTTACCATGTAATGTTCTATTAGTAATACTCTGTATGCAATCTCTATGCCTGATGTGGGGCTCAAGTGCAGGAAGGACCCGGAGATCAAGAGTGACATGCTCTCCTGACCCAGCCAGTCAGGCGCCCCTCTCTATGAATTGGATAAAAGATGGAACATGAATCCACAAGAAAATGGTGCCCAGTTACTATTGCCATTGCTGTCCTTTTCTATTTGATTCCTTGTGTTCGTATCCATGGCTTTGGTGAAGTAAGGCTCTGAAAGGTGAACGCCAAAATTCTTTTTTGAGGGGATCAAAACACTCTGAACACTTTGTTGGGGATCAAACACTACATAACTGGGACGGTGTTTTGGGAGACGATGTTGGAATGTAGTAGCTTCATTAAGCAAATGGAGAAAATGTTCTCCACCAGTGAATCTGATGAGCACAGTCCACAGGCAAAAGACAAGTCACCACAGGAGAAGAGTCAGATACTTCCACCCTTTCATTGTCATCTGTTTTCCCTGCTGAATAAATACCTACAGACACCTCAGTAACATTTTCCCTATAGTTGGTGCAGTTTTTGCTGGACGGTGAAAATTCGTGAAAGGAATCAACATCCGCTTAATGATTGAAAAATTGCGTTAAGCAGCAATAATATACACTTGCAAGCACATTCTTTGGTCATCTGTGATGGATTATTATATGAATAAAATGTAAACATTTTACATGAACTGAGAACTTGGTAGCTCGTGCTACTTGCACAGGTGTTGGAAAGGCGTGAGAACCAGCGCGAACCAACTCTGCAGGAGCAGAATCTGAATACCGCGTGAAGAGGGCACGCGCGGCGCCCGTGCGCGCTCGGACCCCGCGCCGGTCGCACCGCAAACAGTTGCGATCAAGGGCTTGCGGCGCGTTCTCCACCACCGGGGTCACCGAATACAGTCCGCGCGGCCGCCGACAGCCTCCAGCGGCGCACGCCCCAATACCCCAAGACGCGCGTCTCGGACGCCTCTGCCCCTGTCGCTCCCGCCTCCCGGATCCCGCACCCCACGCCGACCTCTGCCGTCTCCGGGCCTCTCCACCCCCCCACCTCGCGACCCTGCCTCTCGGATCCCGGGCCAGGCTCCCGCTCCCTCCGCTCCCCGCGGCGGGGCGGGGCGAGGGCGGGGTTTCCTGGCACTTAATGAGCGCCGCGAATGCGGCTATCCCGGGCTCGGAGGCCGGAAACGCCGCGGCGGAGCTGCACAGCAGCGCGGGACGCTGCCCTTCCTCGAGGTCCGCCGACAGCGCACAGCCAGCGCAGACATGGTCGAGTGAGGCCAAGGAGACCCGCGCTGGATCGTGGAGGAGCGGGAGGACGGGACCAACGTGAACAAATGGCACTGGTGCGGCCGGGCGGGGGCGGGGGCCGGGGCTTTCGGGCCTTCTCCCTGCCGAGCGGCGGGCGGGACGGTGGGACCCCTCTGCGAGCACCCGGGTCCCCGTGTTTGCGGGGTGCGCTGGCCCGGCCTCTCGGGCGCCTCCCGGGCTGCGGCGCTCCCTCTGTGGGGGCGGGGCCTGCGCAGGTGCGGAGGATTCCCTTCTCCACCAGCTGCTCAAAGAGCGGCGGTGATTAGCCTCAGCTGAGTCTGGAGACGGGGGTGGGCGCTTTTCTGCACTGGCTGTAGGATTTCAGTTTCCTCCTTTTCAAAGTTGTTCTGGGCCCCATGAATGGTATCTGCCTGGCCTCTTAAACTTTGCCAGTCTGTGACCTTAAGAGTTCCCCTTCCCCCCACCCCTCTTGATGTTTTTGGAAATTAAAAGCTTGGGGGTGGGGTGGGGGGTGTTGGACTGTATGTAGTGTGAAGAACAGGAATTTGGATCTCAGCTGTACATCTAACATGATGGGCCTCTGGTGAGCCCTGCCTTCTTTCTAGGAGTTTGAACAGTTGCGCATCCTCTTTGTACGTCCTCTGGGACGTGGGCTGATTTCTGCCTCCCTGGCTCCCGCAGGGTTTGGGGAAGTGATGCGGCATCACTGGGGTACCCTGGGGTACCTCAATGCCACCAAGCTGAGGCTGAGGCAGGTTCAGTGCAGAGCAAGACCGTCAGTCTGTGAGCGGGTTACTGAGGGAGCCCTGGCCTCTCCTTTCCCCGCATTGTCACCAGGAACACACCAGGGACTTGTCTCTTCTCATTTCCACTCGCTAAAATGGGAACATTTATTTGGGAGGATTGCATGAGATAATATATGCATTCGATGATTTGTCTTTTTTTTTTTTAAGATTTTATTTATTTATTTGACAAAGATCACAAGTAGGCAGAGAGGCAGTCAAAGAGGAGGAAGCAGGCTCCCTGCTGAGCAGAGAGCCCCATGTGGGGCTCAATCCCAGGACCCTGGGATCATGACCTGAGCCAAAGGCAGAGGCTTTAGCCCACTGAGCCACCCAGGGGCCCCGATTTGTCTTGTTTTGATTAAAACTATTTCAGTCATTACTACCTTTTTGTACAGCCCAGGCTTTGCGCATCCATTTCCAGTGGGTGAGATTGCTAGGCTCTTCTTCCCCCAGAATAAGCCAGTGTTTTTAAGACAAAACACTACTTTACACAGTGGATAATAATATCTTAAGGAACAGAGAAGGAATATTAAAAGATATTTGGTAGAAATCTGGTTTAACTTTGAGGGCAGCAGGGTTCTCAAGGCTGCCTGAGAGGGAATGGGCTGCTCTGGGCTGGTCCTGGACATTCTCCTGACTCCCCAGTCTGGGCATGTGGCTACCAGCTGGGGCCTCCATTCACGGCTCTGCCCTTCTGGTCCCTGGCAGGACAGAGTGGGATGCCACCAGCCGGTCCAAGGGGAAGCTCTGTGACCTCCTGGTGGGCATCATCGTGGAGAATGAGGTGGCAGCGGTGAGATCTGTGAGCTGAAGCAAGTCAAAGGTGAGGCTTCTTGAAGCAGCCGCAAAGGAAAGCTGATTTTCTTCTATGAGTGGATCATCAGGCTGAGCTGGAAAGGTAACAGGGGGCTCAGGGCATAGCTAGGGGCTGGAGGCAGCCTTGGGGCCCTGTGGGCTCATGTATTACTCATGCATTCACTAGATATTTTTAGAACTCCTTATAAGGGCCTAGCACTCACTGGCCCCTGAATTTGGTGTGTGTAGTTTCAGATACCCTTTGGTCATGTACAGTGCCTTGTCCAGCAAGCTGTTGCTTCCCTTTCTTCCAGCATTGTTTAGAGCTCTTTGATTTCAGCAGCACTCTTGTCTGCCAGGCACTTGTGAGCCCTAGACTTCTCTGGAGCTGCTAGAGCGCTCTTCCGGGAGACAGCTGCCAGCTGACTCTTCTGGGTCCTTGTCCTGAGTGAAACCACCTGTCTCTACTATAGAAATTGCAGGTCCCTTCTTTGAACTGTCTCCCTTCCTGCTTTATCTTCCCCCAGAGCACTGATATTTGGTATCTTTTTATGGTTACTTAAATATATTATTATTCTGTTCTCCTCCTACCCCCATTCCTCAGGGCAGGGATTTTATCAGCTTTATTGGGATCTAATTCACATACCATACAGCTCTCACATTTATTTATTTATTTATTTATTTTAAAGATTTTATTTATTTATTTGACAGACAGAGATCACAAGTAGGCAGAGAGACAGGCAGAGAGAGAGGGAGGAAGCAGGCTCCCCTCTGAGCAGAGAGCCTGACGCGGGGCTCGATCCCAGGACCCTGGGATCATGACCTGAGCCAAAGTCAGAGGCTTTAACTCACTGAGCCGCCCAGGTACCCCTAGCTCACACATTTAAAGTATACAGTTCAGTGGTTTACGGTACACTTATGGAGTTGTGTAGCCATAACTACAATCAGTTTCAGAACATTTTCACCACTCACAGAAACCCTGTACCCATTAGCAGTCACTCCACACTCTTTGGCAAACACTAATCTGTTTTCTATTTCTATGGATGGATTCGCCTATTTCTATTCTCTGTCTCTAAGGATGGATTTGGCTATTCTGGATGTTTCATATGAATGGAGTCATAGAGTATGTGGTCTTTTGTGACTCGCTCCTTTTGTAAAAGTTTTAATTCTGGTGTAGTTAACACAACTGTTAAATTAGTTTCAGGTATACAATACCGTGATTCAACAATTCCATATATCACCCAGTGCTGATCATGATAAGAGTACTCTTTAATCCCCTTCATTATTTCATCCATCCCCCAACTCCCCTCCCTTGTGGTTACCATTACTTTGTTCCCTAGAGTTAAGAGTCTGTTTTTTTGCTTGTGTCCTTTTTTTTGCCCCTTTGTTCATTTGTTTTGTTTCTTAAATTCTACATGTGAGTGAAATCACATGGTATTTGTTTTTCTCTGATTTATTTAGCTTAGCATTATACGCTAGCTCTAACCATGTCATTGAAAATGGCAAAATTTCATTTTTTTAAAAGGTTTTATTTATTTATTTGACAGACACAGCAAGAGAGGGAATACAAGCAGGGGAGTGGGAAAGGAAGACTCAAGCTTCTTGCCGATGCGGGGCTCCATCACAGGACCCTGGGATCATGACCTGAGCCGAAGGCAGATGCTTAATGACTGAGTCACCCAGGCGCCCAATTTCTTTCTTCTTTTTAATGGCTGAGTAATACTCCATTCTATATGTGCCATAACTTCACCCATTTATCTGTCAGTAGGCACTTGGGCTGCTTCCAGTAGTTTGACTGTTGTAAATAATGCTGCAGTAAACATAGGGTTGCATATATCCTTCTGAATTAGTGTTTTCATTTTTTGGGTAACTAGCCAGTAGTGTGATCACTGGATCCTAGGGTAGTTCTATTTTTAATTTGTTGAGGAACCTCCATACTGTTTTCCACAGTAGCTGCAGCTGTTTGCATTCCCACCAACAATGCAAGAGGGTCCCCATTTTTCTACATCCTCACCAACAATTTTTGTTTCTTGTGTTTTTGATTTTAGCCATTTTGATAGGTGCGAGGTGATATCTCATTGCAGTTTTGATTTGTTTTCCTGATGTTGAGCATCTTTTCATGTATGTTGGCCATCTGTACGTCCTCCTTGGAGAAATGTCTGTTCATGTCTTCTGTCCATTTTTTAAAATTTTTAAAAAGATTTTATTAGAGAGAGAGCACATGCACAAGTAGGAGGAGGGGCAGAGGGATAGGGACAAGCAGACTCCCTGCCGAGCAGAGCCTGACATGGGGTTCGATCCCAGGACCCTGAGATCAGGACCTGAGCTGAAGTCAGATACTTAAAAAAACTAAGTGACCCCAGGCACCCATGTCTTCTGCCCTTTTTTTTTTTTTTTAAGATTTATTTGCAGACAGAGATCACAAGTAGGCAGGAGAGGCAGGCAGAGAAAGGAGGAAGCAGGCTCCCTGCTGAGCAGAGAGCCTGATTTGAGGCTCGATCCCAGGACCCTGAGATCATGACCTGAGCCAAAGGCAGAGGCTTTAACCCACTGAGCCACCCAGGAGCCCCTCTTCTGCCAATTTTTAATTGGATTACTTATTATTATTTTTTTTAATCTTTTTTTTTTTTTCTTTTTTTTGGTCAGAGAGAGAAAGCACAGGCAGGCAGAGTGGCAGGCAGAGGGAGAAGCAGGTTCCCTGCCGAGCAAGGAGCCCGATGTGGGACTTGATCCCAGGACACTGGCATCATGACCTGAGCGGAAGGCAGCCGCTTAACTGACTGAGCCACCCAGGTGTCCCTGTATTACTTATTTTTTAGTGTTGAGTTGTATGAGGTTTTTTTTTTTTTTTTAATTTTTAAAATTTATTTTCAGTGTTTTTAAAAAAATATTTTTTACTTTTTTTTTTTAAAGATTTTATATAATTTATTTATTTGTCAGACACACAGAGAGAGAGAGAGAGAGTGCGAGCACGCACACACACACACACAAGCAGGCACAGGCCGAGAGAGAAGCAGGCTCCCAATGCGGAGCAAGGAGCCTGATGTGGGACTCGATCCCAGGATCCTGGGATCATGGCCTGAGCCAAAGGCAGCGGCCTAACCGACTGAGCCACCCAGGCGTCCCTTTAGTTATTTTTTTAAGTAAGCTCTAAACCCAACATGGGCCTCGAACTCATGACCCCAAGATCAAGTCGCAGGGACTACAACTGAGCCAGCCAGGCACCCCTACGTAAGTTCTTTATATATTTTGAATAGAACCCTTTATCAGCTAATAGGTTAGTATGTTGTCCTTTAGTTTTGTTAATTATTTCCTTTGCTATGCAGAAGCTTTTTATTTTGATGTGGTCCCTTTTTTTTGAGTTCATGCATGTCGGGGAGGGGCAGAAGGAAGAGAGACAGTCCTGAGGAGGCTCCACACCCAGCACAGAGCCGGATGTGGGGCTCAATCCCATGACCCTGGGATCATGACCTGAGCCGAAATGAAGAGTCACCCCCTTAACTCACTGAGCCATCCAGGCGCTCGTTTTGATGTAGTCCTAATAGTTTATTTTTGCTTTTATTTTTCTTGCCTCAGGAGACATAACTAGAAAAACGTCCCTACGACATACGGCTGACGTCAGAAATTACTGACTGTGCTCTTCTAGGATTTTTAGGTTTGAGGTCTCACATTTAGAGGACTGGCTCCTCTCACTTAGCATAACATTTTCAAGGTTCATCCATGTTGTAGCATGTTCCATTTCTTTTTATGGCTGAATGATACTCTGTTGTACAGATACAACGCATTTGCTTTATCTGTGCATCAGTTGATGGACATTTGTGTTGCTTTCATTCCATAGGTCATTTGGTCAGGGATGGATTGGTTTTGTTTCCAGGTCCAAATCACTGTCTGGAATGTTGTATTCTTGTTGAAAGACTAAGTTTCTTCTCTGATGCCTAGTTCCTGGCTGGTTGCCAGTCTGTGCACATAAATACTTGTTGAAATAATCATGGATGTGAAGACAAAGGTGAAAAGGAAGAGGAAGAGAGAGGGAGAGACTTAATTCTAGAGGATTATACTGAGTTAAAGTTTGGGCCTCTGCTCAGGGGTCCATTCCTTTCTTGAGGGTTGGGTCAGAGTCCCACAGTAAGCTGGTCGTGGGCCTCTGCCCTGTTGGCCGCTTTGCTCGAGGCAGCCTTGAGCCCAGGGAGGTGCTCACAAAGCATCAAAAGATGTCCACTTCTGCCTTGGAAGCTTCTAGCTGGGGTTTGCTCTCAGTTGCTCCCTCATTGTCTGCAACTGGCTGGATTGTGGCCAGGTCTGGCAACTTTTACCCCACCCCACACCCTGCAACAGGACTCTGAGGGTCCCAGGGAAGCTCATTGTTTTGTGTCTCTTCTGTCTCCCTCACCTCAAAGCTTTTGGAAGGTAAGACTGAGCACCCTCAAGGCAGGGGCTGAAGGACAGGCTGAATAGGTACTGCCATGACCGCTTGCTCGTTCTCCTCTAGCAGTGAGTCCTGGAGGTGGCAAGTGGACCTTCTGGGGAAGAGTCAACATTCTGGTCTTTTTTCTTTTTTTAACTGAATTTTATTTTAATTTTTCCCCATCTTTATTGAGACACAGTTGACTTATAACATTGTATAAGGTTACGTATACAGCAGGATGATTTTATATATACATGATGGAAATGATTATCGCAGTGAGGTTATTTAACACGTCCCTCTTCTCATATAATACAGTTTTCTTGTGTGGATGTTGAGAACTTTTCAGATTTGCTTTCTTAGCAACTTTCCAATAACAGTACAGTGGTGTTCACTGTAGTCATGAGGCCACACAGGACATCCTCCCAACTTCCTCTTGTGACTAGAAGTTTTCATGTTGGTGTCCTCTGACCACCTTCCATATCACCGGCTCCCTGCAACCACCAGTCTGCTGTCTCTAGGAGTTTGGTTTTTCTAGATTCCACGTACAAATGAGATCATACAACTTTTGTCTTTGTCTGACTTCTTTCACTTAGCATAATGCCCTCAAGGTCCATCCTTTTTGTCCCAGATAGCAGGATTTCCTTCGTTTGTATGGCCGAACAATATACTATTGTGTGTGTGTGAGTGTATCAACCACA